AAAGAAAGAAAGAAAGAAAGAAAGAAAGAAAGACAGACAGACAGACAGACAGACAGAGAGACAGACAGGGCTGTCCAAATAGCTCAGCAGATTAAAGCGCCTACAAGCAGACATAGGGGCTGTGAGTTTGGTCCCTGGGCTTGCTGTGTCAGCCCCGCCCTGGGGCGCACTGAGATAACAATTGAGATTAGGGCATGGCCTGTAATCCCAGCTCTTGGGAGGCTGTAAACAGGCGGATCACAACCAGTCCGATCTAGTAGTGTGACCCTGAACACCCTGTAGACCTTTACCTAAAATACTACCAAAAAAGAAGAAAGAAGAAAAAGAAAAAGACATCCCAAACTCAAGGCAGGAGACCCTCCTCACTCAGCACGTAGAGGGGGGCAGCAGTTCCCATTCTGGTGGTATAGGAGAGGGTTAGGTGGGTTATTCCTGAGCAGCTGATTGGGGGGGGGGGAGTGTGAGCTCCGTAAGGCAAGCTCTTCTAATATTTCCTGTCCCCAGTGTATGGAGCATAGGTGTAAGCACATTGTACCCAACGAAGACATGTTGAGCAGACTGCAGTTGTCACAATAGCACGGAAGTAGCAAAGTATACATTTTGTGAGAGACAGAAAGGCTGAATGTGTAGATGAATTAGGATTCAAAATAGCTGCACTTTATTTTATTTATTTATTTATTTTTGGTGGAACCGGGGATTGAACTTAGGCCTTTGCGCTTGCCAGGGAAGCACTTACTCCACTGAGCCATCTCCGCAGCCCTGCACTTTATTTCTGTTACCGAATTTAAGACACACTGATTGCAGTCACACCATTCTGATCCCAGGACCTGGCTGAAGCAGGGTAGTCTGCTCTGCAGGGCGCTGGCTGCTCCTCAGCCACCCTCTGTGTGTCCTGCCATAGAGTTCACCTCTCTTTGATTCTCATTCATGTTCTCTCTCTCTCTCTCTCTCTCTCTCTCTCTCTCTCTCTCTCTCTCTCGTACAGGGTCTCACTACACAGATGGGATGCGTAGTGATCCTTCCTGTTTTTCAGCCTCCCAAGTGCAGGGATTACAGGCAAGAGCCATCTCAGTCTTTGTCTCAGCATGCCCTGGAGGCAGGGCTGGCATGGCAGGCTGGGGATTGAACCCCTGGCCCTTGCATCTGCCTAAGCAAGTGCTTTAATCTTCTCAGCTATCTGGCCAGCCCTTCGATTCTCTTTTAAGTGCATGAAAAACTGCCTCTTTAAACCGTGTTCTTTCTTTTTTCTATCTATATTCATTATTGGAGGAGAATTTTCTTCTCTCTGCTGCATCTCCCAAAATGCTGACTTTTCTTTTAAAATTTGTCTCTTCACCTGGTAAATAAATAATAGTACTGATCATATCATTTCTGCATCAAGTGTTACAGTTTCTTATTATTATGTGTTTGCAATACAGTGTGTAGAATGGTTACATTCCTTATGGACAGCTGGTATGTGGGTAATACATCTTAAGGGTTTTTTTCATCTCCTTCCCAGATTTAAAAAGCCTTTAAAGTGACTAAATGAGTCCACCCTCTCTTGGTACTGGGGATTGAACCTAGGCCTTTCCATTGAACTATGTCTCCAGCCCTTTTTAATTAATTAATTAATTGGAGACACTCTGCCTGTGTTGCTCCGTCGCCTAGGCTGTGCCTAAACTTGTGATCCTCAGGCTCAGCCCATTTAAAAAATCAGCAAATACTTTTATATGTTTAAGCTTTTACTGAAACACCAACATTAAGAATACATGAGCTTTTTATTTAGTTCTATTTTAAGAAACACATTAGCACTGACATTACTGATTTTCATTGGAAACTTCAGCTATGCCTGAAGAGGCCTCTAGGAGCCAATGTCCGACCCAATTGCAGCTTGTCGTTTTGTGGGGAAATGAGTGTTATTTCTGGATTTAGAATAAACCTATTGTGGACACAACCAGTGTGTTATGTGTTCTGGGATCTCCCAGTCTAATGTGCTTAGGGTGACTTGTAGCTTCTTTATCAAATTCCTACGTAGGAATAGAAGAGTTTCTTATCTTCATTCACATGACACATGAACTGTGGTGTGTTTGTGCCACAGGAAAGGCATTTGACATCACCTACGTGCGCCTGAAGTTCCACACCAGCCGCCCGGAGAGCTTCGCCATCTACAAGCGCACCCGCGAGGATGGGCCCTGGATACCTTACCAGTACTACAGCGGCTCCTGCGAGAACACCTACTCCAAGGCCAACCGCGGCTTCATCAGGACTGGAGAGGAGGAGCAGCAGGCCTTGTGCACTGATGAGTTCAGCGACATCTCTCCCCTCACTGGGGGCAATGTGGCTTTCTCAACCCTGGAAGGCAGGCCCAGCGCCTACAACTTTGACTACAGCCCTGTGCTGCAGGTAGGCAGCCCTCCCAGGTGGCACGGGGCCAGTCAGTTCTAACACATCCCAGATTCGGGAAGCCTGTGGCACTCAGCATGGGTCCTGCTCCTGGGGTGAGCAGGTGGAATGGATCCTGGGATGCACCTGCGTGCCAAGAGGCAAATGTATCCTGGGATATAAACTGCGCAATCCCGTGAATTTTGTGCAAAACTAACTTTTTTTTTTTTTTTTTTGGAACCTGGGATTGAACTCAGGCCCTTGCGCTTGCCAGGGAAGTGCTTATTCTACTGAGCCATCTCCCCGGCCCCTGCAAAACTAATCTTAATGTCTGTATGTGAGAGGGAAACACCTTGCTTCTGACCTTTTACTTTTTTCTTTCTTTCTTTTTTTCTTTTCTTTTTTTTTTTTTTTTTTCTATATTGGTGGCTGAACACAAGTTTTCTCACTGAGCTACATCCCTACCCCCTTTTTTTTTGAGACAGAATGTCACCAAGTCTCTGAGTTGCTTATGGCCTCGGCTCAGATTTGCAATCCTGCTTCAGCTTTCCAGACTGCTTGGATTATAGGCCTGGCACTTTGTACCTTTTTGATTTGATAAAATAAAAAAAGTTTTTCTTTCTTTTTCTTTTTTTTTAGTTAGAAGGCGTACTTGAAAACGAGGTATTCAGGAATGCTGCCTTCTAGCTGGGCACATGGTGGCTCATGTCTGTGGTCTCAGCTCTTAGAAGACTAAGGCAGGAGGATTGCCATGACCAGCTTGGGCTCCGTAGTGAGTTTAAGATCAGCTTGAACTGTGTAACGAGACCTGGTCTCAAAAAAGAGAAAGAAAGAGTGCTGCCTTCTTTCACTATTGTGCAAGGAACCTCTGATGGGGTTTTTCTGGCACTGCTGCCACACCCCGGGAGACTTTTTCATCAAAAAGGAAAGGCGTTGGTGACAGATGTCAGTTGGATGCCTGTGGTATCAGCACTGTGCTGGGGCATTGGGATAGAAGCTTTCTCTACTTAACTGTAGAACTAAAAGCTGCTTTTAAAGTCACTTTTTGTATGTAATATGCACACACTCTTACGTGCAGTCACTGGTATTACTTATTGTTCATTTTCTTTGGTTTTAGCTGTGTAATAGTAGGAACCGGTGAGACCCACGCTGTTCTCAGCACATTAACCCAGAACAAGCCAGACACTGCTGTTACCTGGCTGAATTAATGTCTGAGTGAGGGGCAACCGGTATTCATTGACTGAGGAAAAAATACTAAAAACAGGCTTGCAAACGCTGTGTGCATGTTATGGAAAGTTACAATTTCTTTTTTTGGATGTATGTATTTTAGGACAGAGTTTACAGGGCCTATAGGGTCTCAGTATAGAGATCAGACTCAGTGATTTTTCTGTTTATAGCTACCCAAGAGCTGGGATTACAGGCGCTCCCCACCACGCCCAGTCTCAATCTCTGTTTTAGCATGCCCCAGGGTTGGGGCCAGCACGGCACACTGGGGATCAAACCCGTGGTCCCTGCGTCTGCCTAAGCAGGCGCTTTAATCAGCTGAGCTATTTGGCCGCTCGAAAAGTTATGATTTCTAAATAGGAAATATTCCTGTCTTTCTGGACTTTCTGCTCCTGCTTTCCTATTCTGTTTCTCTGGAACTTCCTGTTTTCAGATTTGGTTGTGTGACTTTGGACAGCAAAAAAATGATAGTATCCTGTATTTCTCTGTGGGTACAGTTCTTCTCTTTGACTGCTGGGAGTGTTTTCCAAGGGCTGGGGAGAATGCTCAGTGCTCTAAGCACCTGCCTGGCAAGCAGAAGAACCCAGATTTGAAGGATTTTTTTTTTTTTTTTTTTGACTGGCTCAGGCTGCCTTCAGGCAGATCTGGTATGGTATGTGGAGCCGGGGGATCGAACCACGGTCCACTGTGCCTGACTGGGTTTGCCCATTTAGGCACTTAAACAACTGAGCTAACCGGCAAGCCCCAAGAACCCAAGTTTGATTCCTGGTACCACATGCTGCACTGGCCCCACCACCAGGTGCACTGAGCTGGCCACGGAGACCAGGTGTAGTGGCACATGGCTATAATCCCAGCACTGGGGAGGCTGAAAACAGGAAGATCACTGTGAG